CATATCTATAAATAAAATAATTAGTTATTATATTATAATAAAATATAAATAGAAAATTAAATTAAAATTACATACTCTGCCATTTTTATTAAGAATTTTTGATGATATTCAACTACATCTGGTCTTTCATGTTCGTCAACATAAATACCTTTATGATATTTTTTATATTGAAAACCTATTTTAAGCAACCAACGTTTAGCAGTAGATTTTCTATCATATATGTTAAATAAATAAATATATATTATTAAAATTTTTTTTTATTAAATTATTAAAAATTATACAAATATTTAAAATTAAAATTAATTACCCAATTCGTGTTGTATAATTAACACCTAACTTTGGAAAAATAACATCTAAAATGTAATTAACAAAATCTGATAAGTAAAATTCAAACTTATTTACACGTAAATAAATAATAATTTCATTATGTATATCCTCATCTTCAAGTAAACTATGTACTTTAATATGTTTTTCACGCATAGAATTCGGAATTTCCTCTCCTTTTGCTAATATATGAGCCCAACTCTGAAGTTGTCGAGCAAAATATTCATTTTTCCCTAATTGCCTTGCAATATAAAGACTTGAAGGTATTTTTTTGCAATTAAATCTAAGAAGCTGAAGATATTGAAGCACAGCTGTTAACCGCTATTGTTGTTTTGATACCAAAGTTTTGTCATGAAGTTTTATTTTTATTAAATGAATTAATTCTTTAAGTTCAATTTCTGTTTCTGATTCGGTGGATGATGCATCAAAATCAACATTCTCAATTTCATTATTATCCGATTCATTTAATTCAATAGGAGGAAAGAACTGATTAATGGTACATCCATTTTGGATGGCCATTTTTTTGCGTTTGATTTGCGTCTTTTTTGTGTTCTAATGCTATTACCATTATATTGAAGTGGCCGTTTTGAAGGTTTTAAATTTTTTGCTCCATAATATAACTTTTCAAGCGTACCTTTTGGTTCCTCATCAAGTTCTTGATAATCCCAAATAACTTCATCATTAGAAGAGTCAGACTCTTCTTCAGAAAGTTCCGAATGAGAACTATCGATAAAAATTGGCTTTTGTGAAGAGTTTGCATGTATCAAATGATTTTTTTGCTTGGACCAACGTCCTATTATAAAAGCAAATGCAAAAAAAAATTGCTAAGCCACATTTACGATCGAATTTCACATGATTTACTGTGGCTTCAGAGTGCCAAATTCACATGCGTACATAGTAATACATAATAAATTTAATCAAATTTTAAATTCTTATTCCTCTTTAACGAATGATTAGATTTAAAAAAACTTTTCATTAGTTTTATTGTAATTTTACAAATAATAGAAAAATGGAAAAGTTTTATCAAAAAGCTATTGTTTTTTTTTAATAATAAACTAAAGTTGGCCCATAAAATTTACCGTGACTAGGTAGTCCGAGCCAATAGTATGTAATTATATAATTTTAAATCTAATGCTTTAGAAGCAATTTTTCTTTAAATTTTAATGCTTTAGTAGCAATTTTTCTTTAAAATTAATATACCGGTAGCATTTTTTTTTAAATTTTAACATACTGGTAGAATTTTTCTTCAAAAGAAATGATTCAAAAGTATTTATTTTTTTAATTTTATATTCTGGAAGTGTATTTTTAAAGATAAAGTATTAGTAGCATTTTTCTTTAAGATGAATGTTCTGAAAGTATTTTCTCTTTAGAGAAAACCATTTCAAAGACATTTTTCTTGAAGAGAATCATTTTGGAAACATTTTTTTTGAAGAGAAATGTTTTGAAAGCTATTATCTTGAAGAAAACTATTCTTAGAATATATCCAATCTCTTCAAATACTTTTTAAAATTTTGTTAATGTAAGCCAAATGAGCTAACTTGTTTGGCTTGCAAGCTAGCTTAGTTTGTTACATTTTTAACTCAAGCTAAGCTGAGCCTAAGCTAAAATAAATCAGCTTAGCTTAAGCCAATTAATTGTTAAGTTAGTTCAAGTTGGTTTATGCAAAGCTTTAATATAAATCATAAATGAATTATATAATTAAATATCTGATAATTGAATTTTTAGTTAATAAAGAAAATTATAATAGAAAAAACATTTAACTCTTATTGAAAAAATTTATTGATATATATTAATAATAAGCAAATTTATTTTCATAAACTTATATATAATAGGCAAATCAACTAAAAAAGAAAAATAATTTAATTAATGTAACAAAAAGCTGTACTTTTCTAAATAACTCAAAAGTTGATCATATCATAATGTTATAGTTAAAATTTTTTATAACTTCTATTGTTAAATCATATAATATTATTAAACTTAAATTTCAGCAAAATAATTTAATTTTAATTGTTAATTTATTTATAAACAATTCTTTTTAATAGAACTTCCATTCAACAAAAGCAAAAGTCATGAATATAGAATCAGTAAACTCAAGCATTTAATTGCCTTAAAATATAGCTTGATAAAAAAAAAAATGTCAGCTATTCAGTTGATTCCTAAAAGAAAATTTAAATGACTGCCCCTCTCAATATATATCCTTTTGCTAAATACTGTATATGGTCAAGCCTAAAAGTTTTTGACAAAATTTCGTTTAATCATCTTATTAAATTAATACTTTTAAGTTCTCATTGAAATGAAGCCAAGAATTTGCTACACAGGCTTTAATATCGTCTAAAAAATTGTTTATAAAAATAGTGTGCTTTTCCTCAATTTCCTCCTTTTAAATTCCTAACTTAAACCTTATAAACTTTCATTTATTTTCTGATCGATCGATCGATATAAAAAAAAAATTTAATCAAATTTAATCCACCAAATTCCTAGAATCAAAGGACCTTTTTAGCTAAAATTTTGATATTGTTGAGAAAATGTTCAACAATCTCAAAATAACGGTTTTCCCGCGCCTTTTCAATCTTGAGTCTTTCCTCATATAGGATACTTGGATCCATGAATTCCACTTCTAACTCATGAGTCAGTTCTTGCGAGCCTCTTACTCCAGCCTATTTATAAAAATACATAATATTGTTGGTTCTAAATCTTGCAAGTAAAAAATGAAAATAAAATAAATAGAATTAAACTTGCATCAGCTCCCTTGACTTGAGTTAAATCAACCTTAATAATTTGATGAGTGTAGCTCACCCTATCCTTATTCCTCTCAAAACTATGTGGCCCGTTCGGCTTTTCCTCTGTAAACATAATAAAGTGCGTTAAATTTGATTCATAAATAAATCAAAATAATCGATTTAAAAACTTACTCGGCTTTTCTAAATTTACAGAAATACGATAATCTAATTTTGTATTTGGTGAGTAAATATCCAAATTTGCGACACGAATTTTTTCGACGATGCCACCTTTGATGATCTATCAAAAATGAAGAACATATTGGTGAAATGGTGTATTAAAATAATAAATACACATAATATATACCTCTCCGGTCTTTTGATTACTTGTTACTCTAATTTTTCCATTTCCTACGAAATAAAATCTATCGGTTTCATATGTGTGTTTGTATTCAATAGGTTGTCCCTAATATATTTATAGGATACTTTGATTAGGTTTTATTTATGATTTTATATCAATCAATAACTTACTTTGAACGATGGTTGTTTTGTTTCGATGAAACGCTTATTAAGTAGCTCATTGAAATGTCGATGTTGTTCCTAAATAATAAACCAAGGATTTCTGTTTAATCCGATACAAGAATTCGAATGCCAAATTCATCTTTCATCTTGAGCTTCTTACGAGAGTCATGTTACTCTCAAATATCCAACTGCTTTCTTCAGGATTTATCACTAAAAGGAGATATATATATCAAAACATAAGTATAGATTTTGAAGAGATTACCAACATTTTAATTACATATACACACCTGTCTCGCATTTTACCGGCAATTTTATTCGTTCACGTGTTTGTTTATCTACTAAAACTCCCAACTTGGCTTCGATCTAGAAATTTAAAATGTTTAGTAATAATTAAATGTATTTAAAGATAATTGATAAACTATTTACTTCAATGTGTTCCCTCCCAACATGATAATATAAAAAGTCACTGACAACTTTAACAAGATCGTTAACCGGCTGTATTCCAAATATACTATATTCTAAAGCAGCTGGTATTTTAAAACCTATGCCATTTGTTTCTGATTTGATTCTTGATTCTCCTCCTTCGTCTTCTTCGGTACGTTGGCGTTTAACAATATGTGACATGCTTTAAAAAAGATCCTAATAGAAAAAATGAACTTTTGTAAGAATAGGAATTAATTTATACATATTTGGTATGCAGATCATTTGTCGTAAACATGTATATTTTGTATCACATGAAAATTCTTCCCCGATCATTTTCATTTTCTAACACTGTTTTTGATGTTGGCAAAACCATTAACTACGATAGCAAAAAATGGAGTTGGTGCGTTTGTTTTCTCATGTCGTAAGATCGAATTTAGTTATTGTGAACGTAGTGGAAGTAGTCGTGGAATGATGTAAGAGGTTTAACTTTTATTCTTTAAATGATTCGTTATAGAATTAACTAGCTCCTTTGCACATTTAGCGAATATCTTCAAAATCATTTAATCCCTTTCGCGAAAGAGAATCCACAATTAGAAGTTGTAGTAACCCCGCGCCCATCAAAACATCCTCTCATAACTGGAACATATTGTCAGTCCTAATTATTTCATTTTGGTTTTTAATGTTGAATTAAAATTTTTTCTTACAAATATGGTATTTCTTTATAAAGTGAATCGTAAACAAAAGCAGGTTTGTGTTAGAAATAAAAAACCAGATGTAATCGCTGAAGTTGTAAAATTAATACGCGATAATACTGGGGTTACTGCAAAGAAAAGATTCAAGAAACCGGTTATTTCAACAACTGAAAGTATTAGAGGTATCTGGAGTCCGTTCCATACTCGACCACATTCAATATAATCTAATTTATTAGTTTTTAAAAAATTCAACATAATTTGAAAGTATATGTATACCAATCTCCTTGTAATCAATATAAATACATCTAAAAAGGATCAATTGAAGTAATTAATAAAATATTTGTATTAAATATAAAGAAAAGTAATTATATGTATAAAGTTATTTAATAAGTAAAATTTTTTTGTCATTTAAGATATGTATTTAAATTTTATAATCTTTAATTTATCATATAAAATAATATCTTTTTAATTAATTATTAAATCAGAATACTTATTTTATAATTTATACAAACTTTCATAAACTTATAATATAATTATAAGAATATGGGAGGTTTGCTAGGAAAATGGGATTCTAAGGATTTTTTAATTTTTATTGCATTTTAATCTAACATTATCAAAAATTAAAATGCAATAAAAATTAAAATTTTAATAAAAA